TCTTTTTTTTCTAGACCTGTTTTATCTTTGTGCCAATTAGATGCCTTTACTGCTTCTGCAGATATTTCTAATTTCAGCATGTCCAAAAGAGCACTCTTCACTCTATGCTTTTGCCATGTGTTCTCTTACAATGAATGGAGAATCATCCATCTGATGGTTCAGTTCTGGAAAATGGGTATCATCTTGGACTTATGGTGCTCTCTTCTTTTCCCATCTCCTAAAACTGATCACATTGGTGATGAGTCTATTTCCCAAACAGATTTAAATTTATTCACTTCTATGTGTTCTTACTGTCACCTCCAAAATTTATATCACTGTTGCCCAAATTAATGTGACTTATTCTTTTTTTAAAACAATCTGGTTTTTTTAAGATTTATGTATTTATGCATACAAGAACTGGGATACAGGCCAGAGGTGTGTGCAGGAGGGGAGTGAGAGGATTCACCAGAGACAGAGTGGGGAACAGAACATGCAGACTGACTGAAATACACTGCTGAGGGGAGCAGCGGGGGAGACAGGAGAGGTCTGCCTCACCATGTGGGTTGCTCCCTGGCTGGCCTTGGATCGAACTTGTGCTGCAGAGCCTGTGGATTGCTTCACAGTGTGGTGTTTAACCCCTTGCGCCACCAGAGAGGCCCCTAATGTGACTTATTCTTAATGGTCTTCTGGTAGCATACCTCTCCATTCCTTCCCACATTCAGCTTTCCAGTCAGCTTTCCAATGAATGTCTCCTGAGCGCTCTTGCAGTAAATTAAACTCATATAATATTTACATTATTTCTCATGAGGTTGACTCTATCTAATTCTCTCACTTTTCCTCCTTCCCCCCAATGTAGACTCTTTTGTTCAACTTTATTGAGGTATAGTTGACAGTTGTATATATTTAAGGTACATAATCTGGTGATCATATAAAGATAATTTTTGAAGTATTCACCACAGTAAAGCTACTTAACATACCAGTCACCTCATATAGTAACCATTTTCTTTCCTTTTTTAATTTGGTGGTGAGAACACGTGATCTACCCTCATCTAATTGCAAATATATAATACAATATATGAATTAATTAATCTATCATAATTAATCTATCGTAATCTATCATAATTTAATCTATCATAATTTAAATATTGTACCCCTTGATCAACATCTCCCCATTTCACACTCCAATCAGTCTGTAGTGACCACCATTCTACTCCAATATATACATTTTGCCTGAGGATACTGATTTTTCTTTTCTGTTCCCATCCCATATTTTTTCATGCCTCCTAGCTTTATGGTTGGTGTTCTCTCTGCTCAAAATGCTCTTCCTCTTTACAAATGTTATCCCACTAAGCTCTGGTCTGCAGTTGTGTCTCAGGTGAAATGCCACTTCTTCTAAGAAATTTTCCCTATGCCTTTACATCTGGATTAGTTTCCTTTTGTACATGTTCCCAGGGTCCCCTCTATGCCCTGGAATGACCCTTATTCTACTGTATTTGGCAATTCATTTGGTAAATCCTCTATCATAATTATAAAATCCATAAGGGCTATCTATATACTTATCAACAAAACCATGTTTGGCATAGAGGATTTTGATAAATATTTGATGATACTAGTAAATGGCAAATCCCTGTTTAAAACTCAAGATTTTCTTCATTATTGTGCACAAAGCAGTTGCATTCTGCTGCCTCCATCTTAAAAAATTACGGGAAGTTGGAATATAAGATTAAAATGATTTAAAAATAAAGCCAAACAGGATCAGCTATGTTCAGAACAAATTCAGACAAAGCATGTAATCCTAAAAGAAAAAACTGAAAAAAAGAAAAAGCCTGTGGTGGCAAAAGTTAAGACAGTATCATATGGCATCAAACTTTACAGAATATGGCTATTTTATAAGTCAAGTCAATATAAATCCAGGTTTAACTGTGCTGCTCCATTTCAGAATAAAAGTTCAACAGGAAAATTGAAGTTGAAATAGATTATTTTAATAAAAATTTACAATTGCATCTTTAAGGAAACAGAAAAATATTGATGGTTTCACCTATAACAGGAATATAGGGGAACCAAATAAGACGTCAGTGTAAAAAAATAATAACAGTACAAAACACAACAAAGCAAAAACAGACAGTTATAAACCAGAGACATACTGCAGGGGAGGAGGAAGGAGAGGGATGAGAGGGAGGGAGGGAGGAGCACAGGGGATTGTGGTGATAGTGCATGGGTGCCTTGGGGAAGGAAATTCTATGGGAACTTAATTTGAGGGGGTGGGGGAAAGTATATATTGTCTAAAAAATGTAAAAAAAAGATAAATGTTAAAATAAAAAACATTAAAATAGGAAAAAATTTTATAATTGCTTCTTAATGCAGAATCATGGTAAAAAGGAATTTTTTTTTCTCCCTCTCCTTTAAACCAATACAACACTTTTATTTATTATTAAAGCATGAAGGTTAGAAGTATTCCAAAGTAATGCTTTGCAATTGCTTGTTTAAAATTGGGGCAGCCTAAATTGAAAACTTCCAGGAATAAGAGCAGACTTTGAAAATACTTTCCATCCTACAAATCAAAAAATGTAATTCAATACCTCCATTTTGTATTTTGTATTTCCAATGAGAATTAGAAAAAAAGAAGGCTAAAATCCCCATAAAGTCATCCAAAATATTAGTCAATGCTTCATAAGACAGTATGTGCATTACTACACGAACTCACTCTTCGTAATTACACGGCAGTATTCCAGGCACCCACCCTATCCCCGCGGTGTATAGGCAGCTGAAGCTGTAATAGCGTGATTCAGCTCGCCTGACGACCATCAAATAATCACAAAAAAAAAAAAAAAAAAATCCACCATGAATATGTATGTATTACATTTGTTACAGTCACAATGGTAGAGTTGGAAACAGTGGGTTGATGTCAGCTTTTCTTTCATTCTTTTTTTTAAAGAAGATGAAAACCTTTCCCTTTTTCTCTTATCCTTACCTCTGGTTTATGTGGTTTCCCAGCCTGCTAATATGTTTTTCACCAATGTATGGAGATCCAAGGCCCAGAGACTATTACTAAGTTTCGTCTGGGATATACAGCAAATTACAAGGAGTTAAAGTTTAAAATGGTCATTTGAAACATGACACTAAAATAGCCCTTCCAAAAACAGAAACACAAAATTAAACAATTGATGAGCCTTGTGGGTTAAACCTTGTTTTGCATTGGGTTTCTGTGATGTTTGAGATGGCTGAGGTAGACCAGCTAGGCTGGCCCAAGGGGCTACTGGAGCTTAGAAACTCTTTCTGTGCTTGCTCCGGATCAAGATTTTTATACCTCAAAGGCAATGCGTGCTCAGTAAACTGTGGCAAGAACTGACTTGAAGGTTGGTTTAATACGCCTATTGATTTAAAAAGCAAAATGAAATGCAATTTAAAAACACTCGGGGAGCAGGAATATAGAAAACCTAAATAAGGGACCAGAAAAAAGACTAATTATAATAAAGTAAAAATCAAAATCAACAAGCAGCTATAAACCTATAAACCAGAGACATACTATGGGGGAGGTGGGTGTAGAAGAGGGGGTGGGAATAAGGAGGGGTGGGAATATGGGGGGTGGGAATTGTATGGGGACTATAACCAAGATGAAAATGCATACATTGTGCAAAAATTAAAAATGAGGAAAAAATAAAATAAAAAGTAAAATAAATATCTGATCTCAAAATAAATAAAAACGCTCAGTGGTCTTTATATTTTGCAAATAAGAATTTTTGAAATGTTAGAGAGTTTAAGTCCTTATCTGAAAAACTGAGTAATTCAGTAATTAGCTTGTCTCATCCTTTATGTTAGAAAGGCATCACACAGGTTGTTTAAATTCCAGATTTCCTGTCTGCCCCTGCCTCCATGCCTTCTATAAGTTTCTGATACTCAGGTAGGACCTGACAGTCTGCATTTTTAGCTGCCCTAAGGCTGGCATGTGAGTCATGTTTTGAGAGAATAAATACTCTAAATAAACCTTAAAAAATTCTTTGTTATTAAATCATACCTTCTCTCTACTCCATGATAAATTCCACAGTGTTGTTGATAGGATTCATTCACAGGAGTTTTGTGAGTTGTGTAAATTCCTCTTTAGAACTCAGTTGCCCCTTTGTAAATGGAGAGGACCATTCTCCCACTTACAGTCCTTGGATTACTTTGAGAGACCTGAGAAACCAGCTCAGAAGGGTGTTTCTCTCTCCTTTTTTTCCATTCAATTCACCTGAATTTCTGCTGCTGTGCCTTGCACACATCGTTTTATTTTCACCTGTTATTCATATGTTTCTTCCATCTCTGCTAATGTATGTATTTCTGTTCTTTAGGAAAATTCAATAATAAAACTCCTCATGCCCCCAAATGGAAAGATCTTTTATTATCCAAACTGATATGCATTCCACAATGTGTTGCATGTACTCTGTTCTGCTGTGTAACATACTTACACTCATACGGTATACCTTCTCTTTTATTAGATGCCATGACTGCATTTCACTTTTGTATCCCACAATAAGTAAAATGTGTTTGGCTTAAAAAGTATTTGTTTACTTAAAGGATAAAGGAATGTACATGGTTCACTGGTAATAAGAACCCCACATGTTAGCATCTGTTCTCTCAATAAACACTTATTTAACATTTGCTTCTTATTCTGTAACCTGCTAGATCCTATATATGAAGGAAAAAAATACCTAAATAATTTCTCTTTCTGGGGATTTTATTTGTTTGTGTATAGACAGCTACATTGTTTATTAAATGTTAAATATCTACCATGTAAATAAATGAACCAAAAAACTACCCAAACCATATATACGTATTTCATCAGGGTATATACATATCTGCAGTCTATGTACTGAAAAAAGTCACCAAATTGTTTTTCTCTTTAACATTGAATTACTCTTTGGTTTTGAATACATATATGGTCATGCACAAATAAACCTGCATGTGATCTGTGCAAAGTTTTAAAAACTAAAAGATAAGAAAACGAAGTAAATAACATTCTTCTTTCTGTTCTTACATTTCAGATGATGGAAAATTATCCTTTGAAGAATTCAAAGCTTATTTTGCAGATGGTGTTCTGAGTGGAGAAGAATTACATGAGCTCTTCCATACCATTGATACACATAATACTAAGTAAGTAACTTTTATCTTTGGATTCTGTAAGCAAGATAGAAAGTGTGTGAAAAAATATATGCTTCTGAGAGAGAGAGGGGAAAGATATACAGGGCACATCTTATGCTTACCTATGTTTAATTCTGAGATGCCCCCTGTTAAAAATTGAAATTCTCTGAAGAACTAAATATTGAACTGTAAAACAATGATCTTCTGTAGGGAGCTCTCCTAAAGTAGTTTTAGAGTATTCAGAATATGAAACAAAAGTTTAATTATGAATAATTCTAATTCTATGATTAATAAGAAATTAGAATTCTATCTTGTGTCTTAGGTTTCTTCATTTAAAAATTATCCAGAGGCCATTCTTATATTAATATAGTGGAATGAGAAAATGCCACAGTTCAGATGTGCTGAACTCCCAGTACTAATTCCTGAGAGATGCATGGAATGCAGGACACAGAATATTCTCTGAATAATTAATGCAAACAGTAACCCATCTATTTTATTTACTTTATGCATACAGATCTCTCTTTTTCATTAGTATAACATTTATAACATTTCTATTTATATTCTCACCATCCTTAAAAAATATGAAATGATGAGGAATTTGGGATATAGAACAATAGAAATGTGCTGCTTGATTTGAGCAATTGACCCAAATCACATTATTTGTGACCATTGTGATTACAGAATTTGAATGTGGAAACACACTATTTCAATCATGACTTGAGAGCCATCAGTTTGTTTACTGCTTGAGCATTCAGCATCTTGGTTTAGGCAGTGCTGAGATGGTTCCAGGCAGTGAGCCAGCATGCCACGAGAATGCTCTTGGGCTGCATTTAAGCACAGATATTTTCTTGAGACAAACTAATAAGGAAAATGAAAAAGATTAAATTCACTTTACTCAAGTGGCTGAATATTTTGCAATCAACCAGTTTGTAAATTTTTTGACTTCTGTTCGGGTTTCACATTCCCTTTGAAATGGCTTAAGTTCTTCGTCATCAGAAACAGTATTAGCAGATGACTTTATCAAAAGTTCCATTCTGTTCAGTAAATCTAGGCCTATCAATGCCCTAGTAGGTACTGATAACACAATATGGAAACAGCTTGTAGTTTATGAAACACAGACCCACTAACTAATCGTTTCATTCTAAGATCATAGACGATGTGAGTGAGGTGTGCTCAGATCATATTGGGATGACATAAGGAGATTTTAGTTTGGTAGGCTCAGGGAATGTTCTTTAGATAGCCAAGAATTGTTTATATGGAATAGTAGAAATTGACCAGGTAAAAAAATGGACAGGGGACTATTCCAGTCACAGAGGAAGGCTAACAAAAAGCCCTGGAAGTCTAAGGTGAATGAAAGTATTAAGTGTTTTCTTAGAACCAAAGTGTCAGCTGTAAGCCTGAGAATTGGAGGAGAAGAATCTGGGAAGAATGGGCCATAGAAGAAGGAATTTGCATTCTGAGATTGCAAAAGTGCTTCAACTCTAATATGTAGGTTAGGGAAAACTATAAACGAACTTAAGCAGCATCTTCATACATCATTGTGTCTCTACCGACTGATAAGCTTCAGGGGGTAATGGTGGAGGGAAACTACAGATGTTAGCTGAATCCTTAAATTAGCACTGAGGAATAATGTTTACACATAGAGAAAGGAAGTCAGATGATGCCATTCTGAGGGATGAGCCCTGAGTGAAGAAAAAGAACAGAGACTCCCTTTGTGGCTCAGGTGTTAAAAGTTGAGATGCTGATACCCCCATCACAGTTATTATTATTAAAGTTTTAATGATATCCAGTTTTGGAAAAACTGTTGAGAATATAGTTCCAGAATTAAATGTAAGGGAAATTTCTCAATATGTTTTTACATATTAATGAAAAAGTTTCAATAGATGCTGTTGCTCTTATTTTGCTGTTTTATTTATTTATTTATTTATTTGCTGTTTTATTTATTTATTTGGAGTTACTTAGCATAGAATAAAATTACATACGTGTTAAGGAATTACATGTAATGAGTTATACAATAAGTTAAAGGAATAATTTTTACTAGCATTTTCTCTCATATATGTATTAGTGACAAGTGTGTTATGATAATGATGGTATTCATCTTAATTTGGAGCTAAAGTATGTTAGATGCAGGGTCTGAATTATATCCATGAAATTCCTTCTTTTTAAAAAGATGTCATTGTCAGGCTTTGATTTTTTTTTTTTTTTTTGAGTAATTCAAATACTGGTGGAGGAATTTCAGAGCTATATTTCAAGTAAGTGATAACTTTGTCTTTGCATGATCCAAGTTATTATCATTTTAGTGGTTATTGTATGCAAGCTATATATTTTGCTCCTTCCACATACTTTCTGAGAAAATATGCTCTATTTGTCCAACATACCCAACCACTTTTATTTGATCAAAGGTAGACCCTTCCCTGAAGGAGCCAATTCATAAATAAGGTGGCTCAAGACAGTCAGATTCATTAATTCATATTTATGTTGAACCACAGGAGACAGAAATCACAAATGAATGTCTGCAGCCGAGGTCCCTAGGGCTGCCTAGAGCCTCCTGCTCCTGATATCGGTAGTTGAAGTTAACCTCAAAGTCCATTAAATCATTGAGTGTATCCATTCAATGCACTGCATTTTCTTGAGTTTATTTGAATAAGATTCTATTTCTTTCAAAAGTGTGGTCTAAGAAAGTATTGCCTTAGCTCATTCCTGCCATCTATGATAATCCAATTTTCTTTTTCCTGTTTGAAAGTGACATATATTTCAAAAATATTTGGAAAGAAGGCAAATATTAAGACTATGTCTTACCAGTCTTTTGTCTCATGAAGAATATTCTTAAATTATTATACTTGATTACAAGGAGCAAATATTACTTAGAAACATAATTATAGCTGTGCCAATAGTACATCATAATTAAAGGATTTTAAATATCAAAGTAAATCATTCCTTATAAAACAACATCAAAAAGACATCAGGTAAACCTACAGATTTTCAGGGGTCATGTTTTTTATAAGTAGCTTTAAATGAAAAACTATAAACATAGAGTTGTGCAATGATTTTAGAAAATAGTTTGACAAGTAAAAAACACATACTGGTGCCTCTATATATATTTAGGTGGCTCACAGTTTCAGTTTCCAGTATTAACTTGCTGAATTTTTTCCTTCATTTCATTCATTCATTTCTTTGTTCTTTCATTTTAAAAAGTGAGTATTTAAGAAATTATGTTAAGTATGTGAAGAGCATTTCACTGAAATTTTTAATTGCCCTTAAGCCTCTTAGTTCTTGTCAGTCAAATTTCCTCTCAAGGATACAAGTGATCTATAACAAACAGAAAAGCAGACCAAACATATATAACCTCATGTTTGATGCTGTGGAAAGATTTCTGTATGTGACTGTTACCAAGGTTAGAAGGATTTCAGGTCTGAATCATAGAAAATGTTTTCAGTGTATTTCAAATCTAACCCCTCAAGCACATGTCCCTGCATGTGAAGGAAAGTGTCTAGAGAGTTTTGACCCATACAATTGTAAACTGTATAATCTCATTCTAGTGAGGATTCCAAGAATCATCCTAATTTTTTATTTGAATTTGAATTTTTCAACAATGAATGTTTTTCTGGTAATTACATTCCTAATCTATATGACCTAGAGATTTTGTTCAGAACATAGGCTTTAGAAATGAGAGGAAACCTGAATAAAAATAAGAGAAATTTGAAGGTAGCAAAAGTCTAACTTTCCATCACCTTTAAAAAACTTTATTGATTTTTTTTCTATTATGTTTGGACATTTGGAAAATTGTTAAGAGCTTTTTTCTTAAATAGAGTAATTGGATGAATGTGGAATATAAAACAACTTTATGTCTGTGGATGATTCCTGGAATATGTGATAGAGCAAAGGAAAAGAAGGTCAAAATGTAAGTTTTTGTCAATAAGGTCAAATATTGTTGCAACTAACCTTCTCCAACTAAGTAAAGTGACACAATCTAATATTCCAGGATATTATAAAGAATGTAATATCCACCTTACTAAATGTTATTCTTCACAAAATTTTGTTCAGCCTTCATATTGTTTTATTTCTACGTCAAATATGCTCACTGTTTACATAAGACAGAATAATGTCGCAGTCATTTTGTTTAGCCTTATTACAATTTTCCAGTTCCATTAAAGATTGTTTAAACATACTTCTCCCCAAATTTTGTGATAGTCACTGTTTAGGAAAGAATACTTGAAATCCTTAGCATTTAAGTTTGGAACAAAAGAGCAGTATTAGGCAAAAAGTGATCCTCCCAGTATACTTCATTTTGAGTTCCAGATTGTTACCAAATGGTAGACCAGATGGAAGCTTTGCTTTTAGGTAACTGTGAACACAGAGAAGTTTCCCAGGGCCTGCAGATGGGGGCCTGTGACTTGAGATGGATGAGTGATGTCTTCAGGTTAAGTACTCTTTATTCCAGGCTAAAATAATTTGGGGTGAGGGGGCACTGAGTACTGAGATTTCAACCCCGTCCTTGTTAAATCACTGAAGCACATTAATGCAACAAAAATATCATCACCTACTAAAAAAAGCATAGTCCATCATGAACTAGTTCTGAAAGTTTAAAAGCTCTTTGTTAAATTAAACTATTTTTCTCCCTAAGCTTCCACTTATTTTTATCTTAGTTCTGTTCTTTAGGGCCATGTGAAATATGAATAATTTATGACAAGTCTTTCTAATACTTGAAGACAGTTCTTACACACCAATGATGAGATAAGTCTCATAATATTTGGAGAGTAATGCTATCAAAGGAATTGTTCCAGACAGAAAAATTTTGTTTCTTCAAAACTGGGAAAAGTTGTTCATCTTGTATTTGTGCATGAAAGTCAAATTCTAAAATTGGATGAATTGGTGGATAAAGTCACTTTCTCCCTTGAGTTATCTATAACAGTGCTAAAGTAAATACATTTTTTTTGGCTATAGGAAAAGAAGGCAGGATAGGTTCCCAAGAAATGAACAGTAGGTTGGTCTGAAAATCATGTAGCAAAACTGCATTACAGTTTGAATAGAGAGTCTATTCCAATAGTGGGCAACAGAGATCTCCGTATTAACACAGCCTATACTATCTTCAACTTGAACTGGCAATTTTGAAATCAGCACTGAGAACTGCCTTAAGGAATATGGCAGGTCACAATTTCAGGTGGTAGGCTAAGGAAGTATAGCATAACTGAGAGGTGCACAGTCAAAATATCAGAGAAGAGGAAAAAAATCATGTCACTCCATGTCACGAGAATAAAGTAGAAAATCAGAGTCCATAGTCTGGGGTAAAATGCAGTGGACAGACTGCAAATGCTGGGGTTGAGTTTTAGCAGTAGTCATTGGGCAAAGGAAACATGGGAGTGTTCAGTCAAGGCTCAGACTGGCCCTGGGCAAACCTGCAGAGAGCACAGAGTCCAGATAGAGCATTGCATTTGGCTATGTGATCAAGATTTAGCTGTAAAATCTAGGCAGTAGGCTGATTTCTGTCCAGGTATTAAATAGCCTACTTGACATAAGTAAGCAAAGGCCAGCAGATGTATCTTGTTTTCCAGAAACACAAGTTAGCTGACACCTCTGGCCAACAATTTTATTTCAAAATGCTCATATGCCAAATGAGGCATGGAGTCAGAAGGACCACAATACTATGAAGTGAGAGAACAATATTGTTTTGACAAATTTTCGTAAACTTCTCTTAAGTTCTTCTTGGAAGAAGTGATGGCAGGATAACAAAGTAGGCAGGCGTTGACTGGTTGTGAGTGATAGACATAAACTAAGCTGACTTAGAGAAATACTTATCCGGTTCATGAGTCTGAAAAGTCCTAAGAAAAGCTTTATGTCATTGGAGTCAAGTACTCAGTCATCAGTCTCATCTCTTTTCCTAAGTTGACTCTTCTCTTGGGAAAACCCCTCTTCGGAGAGGTCAAGATGGTTACTAAAAGTTCAAGGTTGATATTGCTGCCAGCAGGACAAACTATGACAGAACTACTGTTGGGAAAAGTACTACTGTTCTGAACTACTTCAGAAACTACTTTTCTTTCCTAGTAGTCTCAGAAAAATTCTGGCTTTGGAGCTCATGCCATTTCCTGAAAAGTCACTGTTTAAAATAACAAACAACATAATGGGAAGGGAACTAGAATGCTGATATCAGAATAAGGGAGAATAAATGCTGTGCAGGCAAAACCTGACTCTCCTGCAGATCAAATAACTGCCTGCTCAACTTCAAAGACATCCCTTTACCATCTCATATTTTAGAGGAAAATGATCTGCTTCCCCAAGAAAACAGAGTAGTTGGTGGAGTTTGAAATCCGGAGAGCTCCTACATAGTGTGGGGTCAATCAGGAAAATATGAAACCATGATGGCATTCACTTCAATAATTTCTAAAACCCTGTAACAGGCATCCCCATCTGAGCTGACCAGGGTCCTAGCCACCTACACCTGTTCCCTTCCAAGCCAACTGATTTTGTCTATTCCTGGTGTTTCTATTTTCCCAGCTTCTAACTACTAGCATCATGCCTGTAAATGCTACTTCTTTGATGCATGTGAATCTGTCAGCATTCTGTATCTTCAGGGATTGCCAAAATACAGGCAGGCATAGTAACATCTGGTCTTTATTCCCATAGTCTGTCTTCATAATCACATAGTTTAGATTTTCTAGTTCTCACATGTCATATTATCCTTATTTCTTAATATTTTAAAAATTAGGATGACTGGTTAAGTGGAGCACTATTTAATTAGATCTTATTCAGGTGCACTATTTGCCACATTGTTAGAGACTGAAAACTGAAGTCTTACAATCTTACCAATACTCATTCTCAGGTTTCCAGTTACTGATTCCATTTGGCCATGAGAACTAGTTTATTAATTTTTCTGAGGAATCACCCATTTTTATATATACTTTCACTTCAATAATTTCTAAAACTCATTTACTTTCTTTGATCATCTCTAGCTCATAAAGTCATAGAAAGAATAAAGCAAACTATTTCCTGAGAGCCTGAAAATTCTTTTCTTTCCTATGAAGGAATGTCATTGGCACCACTTCTGTTTTCTCCTAAATCAGGTCACTCCACAATTTGCGATGATCAATGGGGCTTAAGATTCTTCGTTGAAGGAAAAGGGAGAAATCAACAAAGTCTACCATATGACTAAGAAGATTAGCATAGCTTAGAGGATTTATAAAAAAGAAAATTTTAAGGAGATTTTCTTCAAGTGACGTGGAAATGGTTTCTCTTTATTTATAATTTTCTTTTTGGG